AGGACCCCGTGGTTCAATAGTTAGGAGGCAGGACTTCTAATCAACAGATCGGAGGTTCGAGTTTCAACTGGTGCATCACCTGAGGTTGGGTATGGCTGACTGATGGGGGCTAATGAACCAATCATCTCTCTCTTGGCCAATAATGTTGCCTGCTTATAATAGTAACCGCTGTGCGGCTGCTGGTAAAGCTGTAAAGTGAGCCCTAAAGCAAAACGGGATAACTGATGGTGAATGTTTACCAAAAATATTGTAAAGAAGCCAAAGGCGCAATTCCTGGGAGAGCAATTGTATTATTTTGAGCTTTCGGCTTCATACAAAAGGCCATCGTCAGAGAAAATGAGAAAACAGCAAGCATTGGCTAGCTTTTGTAGTCTAGGTGTGGGGGGTGGGAGGGGGTAGTACTCGGGATTGGTCCATACTCACGCAGTCTCATCGTATCGCCTCCGCTCGCGTCCTTGGCGTGGCAGCGTGCGTACTTCCACCCAAAATGGACAGAACTTCTTGGTTACGCTCACGGAAGACAAAATAACCGAGTGGTATATCCGCATGCCTTTTGGTGGAGTTAGAGTCTGACACCCAGGCCTACAGTAGTTCTCGCCCTGTCCTATTAGCGGCGCGTGCCATTATCCGCGTGCCCGCAAAGTTGAATTCGTGGCCTTCTTCCAGAGTGTGGGAGGTGAGCTGTAACAGTTTGTCGCCTTTCCTCACTGATGATTGCCTCTTGTGTGAAGCCGAAAGCACAGACTAATATAATTGCTGTTCCAGTGATGGCGCCTTTGCCTTCTTTATAACAAGAACCTAAGTCACGCATGATTGCTTCCATTCGTGAGAATATAAACATCTCTCGATCTAAATCGGCAAGACAACGAGCTCGTGGCTCAATACTTAGAGCGTTAGACTTCTGATCAACAAAGTCGGGGGTCCGAGCCTCGGGTGGCACACCACCTAGGGTTGAGTATGACTGGCCGATGGCGGCTAATGAGCCAGAACTGGTCATTTCAGTCTCCTCCTTGTCTTGGCCGGCAATGTTTATCTGACTACCCTACTAGTCGCTGTGCGGCTGCTGGCGGGGACGAATGAGTTCCGAGTTAGCGATTGGTGAGCGTTTGGCAATAAAGCTCAGGTTTTATAAGTACATAAAGTCTGTTTATGCAAACAACTGAGCAAACGAAACGACATACACAAAGCAACACTTTAAGTACGCTTGTTGCATGCATTTGCATTAAATGTTCACCGAGTATTGGTGTTTTGTGAAGCCCGGTATGTGGGTAAGTGCGCCGCCAACAGAAGCGAAATATAGTTTGCTGCTTACTGCAAAGGGTTAGACAAATTTGTTCAGTAGTCAGCGTTGAGGTGGAGCTCAGGAAAATTCAGGACCTACTTCGCGAGGACTGATATCCTGAGAGATTCATTACAAGGAATATGACTGCAAAACAAATCAAATCTACCACACTAACTGTGGAAAAGAGAAGACCCTATTCCTCAAAGACTCCTTTCGAGGGGACATGGCAAGTGAACTCCTGAAAAGAGTTCTTGACCAAGCCGTATCTCGGACCTTCCGGGCAGCGAGAGTTCGGCTATTATTCTCAACCAACCCGGTCTTACATGGGGAAGGTTAGGGTGGGTTACCAGCTCAGACCACCTCAATGTGCATCTACTCGTTTCTTGCTCCTGTGTAGCAATTTATATCGGTCGCATGAGTCGAGTTTCTTCAAAAGGCTAAAGGAACACTTCCCGGCATGGCTGAGAAAAGGTGAAGTCAGTAGCATAAACAGCTCTATTGGGGCACACATGGTTGATTTCAGACACCGAGTGGACCCCAAAGAAGCCTTCCGGATGATCTATAAGGTCCCACCAAACTACCCAAATCCCTCGGTCAACGCCTGCTAGCAACAGCAGAAGCGACCACTATCAGGCTAAGGAAGCCGGCGTTGTGTGCACAAAAGAACTTCCTACAAGCTCTATTTCTGGCGTGGCCCACAGTTACTTAGCGCCATGCACTCATCCACGCTCTATTTGTCTCCCGTCCCTGCGCCATTGTCCTCTTAACCAGACTCCTCTTATCGACCCCTCCCCCCTATTGCCACGACTCACCTGTACGAAAAGACAAACAAGTTTTAACTTGTACCCCGTTCCCACAAAAATGTACTGGCCTGTCGAGAATTTATCAAAAGCCTACGTACGCTCACCAACCAATTTTCTGAATTCTCCGATGGGACTTTTCGCAACTTTTGAATAAAAGTGTTCAGGTATTCTAATGTTAGCAGGTCAGTCAGAGATAAATAAACTGTATTAGAGTTAGCAGTTGTAATTATAGGCATGATTTTTTCCATATGTAAAAGAGAACTCAATTCAGCAAAATTACAGAGTCCATTTTGGGGACGGTTTAGTACGCTAAGTCGCAATTTTTATTCTGAATACGAGTAAATAGTTGTCGGTGTTCTTAATCGACTACCCGTGTTCCTATAGCTTCCGACTACCAAGCCTTTCAAAATAATATATTTTTTCGAAAGCATGTACTGAAACAGCAAATTTTAGGAGGTTCTTTTGTATGCAGATGAAAGAATGTACATTTATTTTCAAATCGGAGCCCTTTTTGTCACCTTCGCTGAGTTCGAGGCAAACATGCGGTCAATTACGTTCATTTTTAGAGGCAAATTATTCATGGGAATAGGGGAGTGGGTTGAAGGTTGGTAATACGCAGCTGGTTATGCGGCAATGAGGGCTTGTTGACGCCGGTCAGGGGAAGGGCGAAGGGTGAGAGAAAGCACGGAAAATTTCGGGCAGTTATGTGACCGTTGGCCATGCCAATCTCGGAGCTTGCAGCAGGTTCTTTTGCGTGCACAAAACCGGCTTCCTCAACCAGATAGCGTTTTTTCGCTTTTGCTAACAAACGCTGACTCAAAAATTTTAAGAAGTTTCGTGAAGCCTTGTAAATCACCTTAAAGGCTTCGTTGTGGTCCACACTATGTCTGGAGTCAACCATGTAGGTAAGAATGGCACTGTTGATGCTCCTGACTTCACCTTTACTTAGCCGTGCCGGGAGATGCTCCCGTATTTTTTGGATAAGAGCCGACTCGTGCATGCAAATAGGACTGTTTTTGCTTCCCGTATGCCCTCATTGTGTGATACGCTCTCTTAAACGTCTACGAAAGGCCAGTCTGTGGTTCTTAAGTGGCCTACAGTTTCTTCAGAGTACCAGCTCATTTCCCCTTACAATTGCACTCTAGAATCGCTACACCGTTCATAAATTATATATATACACAGGACAACTGGAAGTCCACGAAGCGAATGCGGCTGGGTTGATTGTGCTGTCACAACAGCTCCTAATGCCTCACGTGGAAGAATGGGTTGTGAGTTATATGCCCTCCAGGTAAGTGTTTTCACGTTATCACTAGCTGGCAGGCTGCAGTCCGAAATCATAGGAAATCGCTGGGACCTTTCACAGTTGCTGAAAAGTGACCATTTGAGAAACGCTTGCTTGCAATACATCAAGAGGACATTTGAGGTCAGAGCTGTGCGTGATTTTTTCATACAGCTACCACCTAACGCTGTCCTGTCTTTGTTGCGGGCAGATGACCTTCAGGTGGACAGCGAACAGAGTCTTTTCAAGGCTATTGGAAGGTGGGTCAGTCCATTGGGCAATGTCGATGAAGCACAAGTGGTGCACGCGGCAGCTATGATGAAGGAAATGCGGTGGTATCAAGTCGATGCCGACTTCCGATACCGGCTAGATGATGAGGATGGCTGTTGGAATACAAATTTGGAATGTTTGTAAGTTCACCGACCACATTTGTCATTTTTAATTAGTAAAGACGACTTCTAGGTCGAATAAACAAGTGGATTTACGCTCCATCCTCGAGGGGTGATAGACAATGTCCGTTTAGTGAGAGGCGCAGGGAGCAATTGCCTCGCTCAGCAGATAGCCACTGTCTATTGAATGCGCACCGCCGGAATCCACTGGAGGAATCTGTTTGTTGAGTACGTCCGCGAAAGGAGGGACAGGCTTACTGACCCGGTACGATGCTGACACAAACACGTCGCAGAAGCTAACATGCGCAACGGGCGGATTGGACGCGGCTTTTGTGGCCATTGTGGGTAAGTCGTAGTTACTCGGACTGTTGGCTGCCTTATTACTGTTCATCTATTTTGAAAAGTCGCGGCAATAGTTTGGTGGTTACGTAACTGAATTAACCTTTGTCTATCTTCCCATAAGATATCTTGATCAGGATATGGTCGAACGCTCAGTGCGGTGCATGCCGTCGCTTTTAAATACACTGGTCGATATTTTCATTTGATGTATTTGGTCCTCTATACATGTCGTTTTCTACTGTGCTTCTCATTATCCCGAAACAGATTGCATCTTTGTAATTGGAAGTAACAAGCTAGGTGGCAACTATACAAG